TGGGTGAAACAGGCAATGAAGCAGGAAAGCAATGAAGCTGTCAGCAGCCTACCTGGGACCTGCATGGGCGCAATCCTACATTTCTGGCTGAAAAATGTGGCCTCCCCAAGTCTGAGGCCAGCTGATGTCTTATGCACAGTTCAGCCCTTTCTATGGCATCTCAGCCTTTGCACCTTTAGCAGACATTCTGACTAGCTGAAAGATTGTTGCTTCCTAGAACAGCAATGATTATTTCCGAGAGATGGAGTAATAACAACAGCTATCATTTCTGAGCACTTACTATGCAACCATCACTGTGCAAAGCGTTTTCATACACATTATGCTCCTGAATCCTCTCAAAAATCCTGCTAGGTGAACAGGAATCTCAGTGGCCTCACCCTCATCCTAACCCTGCTAAGCATTCATATTGCCTCCACTTGACTGACATAGAAACTAAGGTTCAGAGAGGTGAAGTAACTTTCCCCCAAATCACACAGCTAGTAAACAGCTGAGCTATAGCTGTCTGACACCTAAACTCATTCTTCTGAGACTCAATTGATATGAATTTGGGGGTGGGGGAGTGGAAAGGGGACTCTTTTCTATTGTACAGGAAACATGATTTATTTATCACTAAGGTTACTAATAGGTAGGTCTGACATTTTGTGAGAACATATCCATCAGTTGGCCTGGTAATGCCCTGAAATGTGCTTGGGAGTCAAATGCCTGTGACAATTGACTAATTTAAATAATTTTGCACGGGAACTGAAGCCATATTAAGACAAATCTTTATTCCCATCCCTATATGAATGTCACAATTAACAGACATATGACACAACTTAGCAGCTAATGGATGGAAAAAAATAAGAAGTAAATTGTCATTTTTGGCATTTTCCCAATGACATTTGCATTTTCATTTCTATTAGAAGTCCATTTTAGCAAAGAAATGTCACATTAGTCACTTGAAACTGCTCTTCCCTAGAAAACAATTGTAAATGTAATAAACAAAAAGAATAGAAAAGGCCAACAGGAAAAAAGAAATCCACCTGGGGTCAGATTCATCATTTGTGGAATGATTTAGCCTTCCTCTGACATTCATACTCCAGGAAGGAAAACTTGGAAAATTTTAGGGTACTCAAGGTTTGCAAAGAGTAAAGGAAGGGGCAAAAGGAATTAAATTGCAGTCCCACTAGGTAGGGATCAAGTACAGATTTCCCCAACTCTCAAGAATCAGTTTACATGTTCAAATTGCCTCATAGTTACTGAGTCCCTCTTCTGCAGAAGGCATAGAGTTGCTATGAAAGGATACAATAAGGTCATGATTGCTTAAAAATTATTCATAATAAAAACACATTTTGAGACTTGATTCTAAATGTTAAACCTAAATTTGAGCAATTTAATTGCCCGTTGAATAGAAATGAAATCCCCCTGGTAGGCAGTTATTTCTTACAACCAGTATGTGTGAAATTGAAATCTTAAGATACCATTTCAAATATTCACTTTCTCTAAGTTCTCCCCAAAGAGTTGTGAAAGATAAGAAACTGACCTGAAGTCATAGACAGTAACCTCTCTTTCTTTACACACTGGGTCAAAACAGAAATATATTATTAGAAGCAAACTTTATGCCCAAAAGTTGGCGGTTCAGAGATTACTCAAGGATATATTTATTTTAACAACTAACTTGAGCCCTACGCAAAGCTGCAGTAAGGAAGATAGCAACTTACCAGATTTAATAAAAGCAACCAGATGCAAACATATCTTCTACTTACCAAGATAGTGAACATTAAAATGGAAAATGCTTATATGTTTTGTATAGGAGCAATAAGAGGTGAGGCAAAGCGTCCCTGCTGTTTGCCTTTTAAAAACGGAATAATTTTTTAATTTGGGTGGAAATGATTATTTTAAACCCCCATTTCACCCTTATATTTAATTTTCAGGATCTTTTCATTTATTTTCAAATTTTTTCTTTCTTTTTTTATTGAAGTATAATTGACATATAACATTATATTATTGTTATAATATGATAGGTGTGTAATATGATTTGATACTTGTATATATTGTGACATGATCACCACAGTGAGTCTTATTAACACCTATCATCATACATAGTTCCCCCAGTTTTTTTTCTTGTAATGGGTACTTTTAAGATTTACTCTCTTAGCAACTTTCAAATATGCAATACAATATTATTAACTATGGTTACCATTTTGTACATTATAGCCCCAGGAATTTTATAACTGGAATTTTGTGCCTTTTGATTCTCTTCACCCATTTCACCCACCCTCACTTCCCAGTTCTGACAAGCATCAGCCTGTTCTCTGTCTATGAGCTTGGTTTTTGTTTTTGTTTTTTAGATTCCACATGTAGGTGAGCTCATACGGAATTTGTCTTTCTCTGACTTATTTCACTTAGCATAATGTCCTCAAGTTCCATCCATGTCATTGCAAAATAGCAAGATTTCATTAGTTTTATGGCTAAATAATATTCCATTGTTTATATATGGCACATTTTCTTTATTCATCTATTAATGGACACTGAGGTTGTTCCCCTATCTTGGCTATTGCAAATAAGGCTACATTGAACATGGGGGTGTATATATCTTTTCGATTTAGAGTTTAAGTTTTCTGAATTGGAAGAAAGGGAAATTGCTGGATTCAATGGAATGCAGTGAAATTGCAGATCCAAGCTCTTTTTAAATTATCCCAATGATGTCTTTTGCTATAACATAGCAGTTGTGTGCTTAGTATCTGCCCAATGCTTTCCATGCATTTCATCTCATCTATTATTACCCCCACCCCACTACAGGTTTATGTGTCACACTTTGCATGCATTCACTCATTTAAACCTGGCAACAACTAATGCAATAGGTTCTGTCATCCCCATTTTACTAGGAGTTTAAATTCCTGCTGTTAGCTCAGGTTCACAAAGGTGGGAAATAGTGACTTGGAAGGCAGGCCGCCTGACTCCAAGCTGCTACCCCAAAACCGACTCCTCAGATTAAGTAACTTTCCTTGGCCATGCTAACTAATAAAAGCCTAAATGAAACCCAAGCAGTCCAATTCTACAGTCCCAGCATTTAACCACCACATTGACTGGTCCAGTATGTAAACTGCTAATCACAACCTACATGTTTATTTTCATTTCTGACTGTAGAGTGGTAGGTTACATATTTATTACGTAATTTTGGCTTGTCTAAAATTTCAAAGAGTTTCTTTAATTAAAAACAAGGGTCTGATCAAGAGAATGTCTTTTATATACTGAAGGCCTTGACTGGGGCCCAAAGCTGCTGTTAAAGCTTCTTTTGCCTCACATACACACACACACACACATAGTCATACACACGAATTTTAATTACATCTGTTAGGGACTCAGGCCTTGGACATGGAGATAAGAAAATGACAAGAGCATGCAGACAACAGTAAATTCTGGTTATACTTGTGAAAAGTCAGTGAGGGTTGGCTCTGCACAGGGGAAATGCGGCGTCCAGGGATTCACTTCTGACTTCAACCACCACCTCTCAGAGTAAACGCAGGCCCTTCAGTGTCATCTTTAAAATGAAAATAAATGTCTATGGCCATGATCCAGACCGTTTATATAAAACTGAATTCTGAAACTATTGGGTAGTTTCCTCTTTACAAGACTTGTGGCTGGTGTTATGCACATGTAGGCCTTTAATGGTAATTTCTGAATGCAATCATTTTCAAGGAACTCTGAGGGCCAAAGGACCCAAAGTTTTTCTCTACAGAAAGGCAGCCTCTTTGCCTCCTCCTCGCCCCCCTGAGGTCCTGCCTCTTCCTAGAATTTGCCCTCTAGGGCTGGAGATTGGAAGGGAAACCTGAACTCCAAAATCAAGTCTGGCTTCTTTCCCTTGCCCTGACCCAGGGCAAAATAGTCTCCCGTGTATTGCTCTTGATCATTGGAAAGGTATTTCTCTGAGCAGGGTATTACCGGCACTTTACGGGGGCGGGGGCGCAGTTTAACCACAGGGGTCCGATTTTTGAAAGATGCTGAGGGAGGGAATTCAGATCAGCGTGGTCCCTCCCAACCATCCCCCCTCTGGGATTAGCTGCCCCTGGCGCTGCTCCGGCGTACCCAGCCACTGCGGTCCCTGCTCGCACAGTACCAGTCGCCTCCGCAGCGCGGACACAGTCGCACGGCCGCAGCCAGCAGAGCCGCGCTGTGCGGGGCATCGCTGCGCACCGCGTCCGCGGACAACCCCGAACAGGCGCCACAGCTACTCGCAACGCTTCATTTCTGTAGGTGCTTATTTCACATTCTTTTCTTTCTTCTTTGAGTGGTCCGCTGGTTACTTTCAGTCTTAGTTAACCAAAAAGGAAACGCCGAAGAGGGGAAGCCCTAAAGAATGATTTAGAGGCAACCCAGCGGCATCTCCAGGGAGAGGTGTTCACCGAGCGACTCCCCGATGCCGGCTCCTTTAAGAGAGCAAGTCAGTCCTGATGCTGCGGCTGTTTGTATTGCTAATCCCCAGGAGCCCCGTTTAAAAAAAAGGAAGAAAAAAGGGGGGCGGGGACCGGGCAGCTGTCTCTTTAAATGTGATTTCCTTCTATTGTATTTGAATCGTGATCAGGAAAAAGGAAATGAAACCAGAGACAGAGGGAAGCTGAGCGAAAATAGAGCTTCCCGAGAGAGGAGGGAGACGGGGACAGAGGCACGGTCCCCTCCCCGCCCGCAGGCCGTCGCCCCCTCCCGGCCCTCGGCGGCGAGCTGCGCACCGCGCCGCGACCCGGGCCGAAGGTGCGAGGGGTTCGGGCGGCCGGGCGGGCGCGCACGATCCCCGCGGGCGGCGCGGAGCCGGCGACAGCGCGCGAGCCGAGCCGGACCGGGCGGCAGCAGCGGCGGCGGCGGCGGCGGCGGCGGCGGCGGCGGCGGGACCGGGATGGAAGGTTAAGTCCTGAGCAGCAGCTGCTGCAGCCGCCCGGGGCCAGGCTGCGCGCCCCGGTCCCCGCCTCGGCCGCGGCGCGCCGGCAGCCCGGTGATTCGCTCTCTCTCTTTGGCGTTTGAAGGGAGCGCGGTGACTGTCCTTGAGCGCGGAGGGGCGAGCTCGCCGCCGGAGCGCCGGAGCAAGAGGAGGCGCAGGAGCGGCGGCGGCGGCGCCCGAGCACCCGAGGGGGTCCGAGCCCCGGCAGCCTGCCAGCCCCGCGCCACAAAGGGAGCGCCCCCGACACCCGGCACACCACCTCCCTCCCCAATGTCCTCGGCCATCGAGAGGAAGAGCCTGGACCCTTCGGAGTAAGTGTGGCACCTCTGCCCCTGTCACCCACGGTCCACGGCCCGGGGAGGCGGGAGGCGTGGGGGGGAGGCGGGAGGCGTGGGAGGCCGGCGAGAGGGCTCCAGGTGCGCGCCCGCAGGCTGCCCTTGGCTCCCTCAGCCTTGTGCGGGGCTCCCCCTTCCTCGCGGGTGGCCCCTGGGGCACTGGGTGAGGGGGCCGGGCGATAGACGGCAGGAAGAGAGGGTCGGCCAGGAGACTGCGGGCCCCTCCCGGCTACCTGGGGCGCTCCCAAAGCCAGCGCGGGCCAGAAAGTTTACACGGAGCAGGCACAGGGGGAGCTCGGAGGCGCGCAGGTGCAGTCCCGAGAGCGTTCAGGGCTTGATTCTGCCCCCTACTCCCCTCTGGCTCCTCCTCGGTCCCCATTCTTTGCCCATTTGGCCCTTGAAAGGGGAACATTCCTAGTGGAGGCCTCCCGAGGCCCCGACGGCCCCCTTCGCGGTGCGCTGGTAGATCGGCTCCAGAGACTGTAGAGCAGCTGAATTCTGAGTTAATCTGGGTACGTGTCCACCCTCTCCTCAGAGTCCACCGATGGGAGCCTATGAACCTCGAAAGTTAGTGCACCTTTTTTATGTATAGGTGATTTCTGAGGATCGGTGTCTCATAAAGCGTTGATGACTGTCACAAAAGGGTTTGAGGTCAGGGAGCCAGAGCTCTAATGAGCGTTTGCCATATTGTTTTCTGAGCCTCTTCCTGGTTTGGAATGTTCCGCTATTCCCAACCTATACCTCCAACCCTTTCTTTAGTGTTCACTAGGGGAGAGAGGGTTGTTTAAGTTGTCATTTTCCCCTCAGCACAAATGCCCTTTTAAGATTCATTAGCTGTCTGGTATTGAGAATTTTTATTCCTTTGAAGTCTCCATCTAATCCTTTGAAGGGATTTGTTACACAGACCAAAGGAACTGGCTAATGACTTGTCCATTTGTGCTTTTAAGAGGCATTTGTTTTGTTTTGTTTTCCTGCTTTAAAGGAATTGTGCTTTCCTGACTGAAGTCCCCACCGCCCCCAATTTCAGCCTTCTATAGTGTTTATATACCTGGGTTTTACCCTCAGTTCCCAGCATAAACGCTCAGCATGTTCTCATAAAACACAGGAAGTACCATGGTCCAATGAGAATATAAACATCACTATTCAGTCTTGAAGGTTCAGACACAGTTCTATAAGGAGCTACATTTGTTCTAACAAAAACCCAGCTTTTCAAACAAATTGCCAGGAGAAAAATAACATTCCTTTTTAAAGGACTCCATCAGTGCACACACTGGGTTTATTGGATGGGTTGCTCACTTTTTTACAATTTAGCCCTGAATTTTCAGAGCCAGGGCAAAGCCATAGGAATACAACAAGAGTGAATTGGTGCCTAATGCCTTTTTGATCAGCAGAACTTTGTCACTAATCCTTTTATTAGAAAATAAATCTGGAGGTTTCAGTTCCCTGAAGGAAGTTTGCTCTTTTCAAAGTTTGTGCTTTTTCACTGAGATTAGAAAATTGAACCATCCTAACCTCATAACACAACAGACACCTACCGAAGGATATTCACCTACTCCATCCTTCACTTCACTATTTGCCCAGTGAAGACAAGGCTCTAATTGAAGATGGTCAAGCTAGTTGAGAAATTGCTGCAGCCCATTTTCCTCCTCTCTCTCCTTGGAAATTGTTTAGAAAAGGGTATCCCAGAAATCCAAGCTGAAGTGATATTCAGGTGTAATATTCAGGATAGGCTCTAGGAAAATACAAAATTCAATTTGAGGGTGAATCCCACTCATTTTTTGGCTTGGGACACCCACTAAAGATAGTGTGACATTATCATTAATTATAGGAAGAAAGAGCCAGTATCTTATCCTGTCCTTTCCTATCCCATCTCAGGCCATCACAGTAACTCTTCTTTCTACTGTGGACAGCTATCCTACTAGATACTACATTGTGAGCTTACTTACAACACCAATTTGGGCTGTAACAGCACCTCCAAATTACAGACAGAAACTTGCTTAAGCATATGCAAATGAAACATTTAGATGAAGGACAGCCAGAATTCTTGAAGGTGGTAGCCATTTTCTCTACCACGCAATGGGTGGCCCCTCCCATTTCCCTGTGAGTAACAAGAGCAAGTCATTTTCATTCCCTGCAGTTTTGCACCAGCTATGTGTGAATTCTCCTCTTTCACGGTTGGCAACATCAGCATCAGGGCATCCAGCATAATCAAGTTTCCATGAGTGTTTTTGAAAGCTGGAAGTAAGTAAGTGTTTCGAAAGTGGAAAGAGAAGAGATGCAGTTCTGAGTTAATGCACATGAAAATACCGGGGATATTATTTTTCAGAAGGGAGATTGGAAGTCCTTATGTGGAAACAAGGAAAAGCAAGTCAGGCTTCAGTGAATTCTTAAAACCATTTAAAGTCTTGAGTTTTTAAAGGAAAACTGCTTGGATTTCACATCTCCTTGTTCTAGAAAGAGATCTCTTTGAGGACCCCTGTACTTGATTTACACAATGTGAATGTGGTTTTAATATGCCTAAGTATTCACGGAGGGGTGGGGGAGGGTGTGCACATTACAGAGTCACCTGAAGCTGTCAGAATGTGTTACCAACACTGATTATGTGAGTCCCAAAGTGTAAGGGGTGCTGAGCATTGTGGGCACAGGCCAATCAGGACACATGGTCACCTCATAATTAGTGTCAGCTAGAAATAGGAGACAGATTCCTGAAGGTACTGAGGAAGAAACTCTCTGGGGATTTCACAGTTAGAAGCAGGTCCCATTTTGAAAAACATAATAGAATTAAAAAAAAATAGTTGTATTTGAGTAAGGGTCAAAAGAGCACTTGATAATTGTTACAGATCAACAGGTGTTGGGTGTTTCTTGTGCCCCATTTGGTGCTAGAATCATTTCGTCCACTCCCTTTATTTTCTTTTGACAAATGATTTTCAAATGTAAGGCAAAACTTTTCAGATTCCAGTTAAGCAGGGTGACCTGGAGATGCTATATGACTGTTTAATGAAAGATAGTATCACAGGCTTAAGTAACTAACAATTGCCTGGATGGAGATTTCAGTCTATTAAGTTTCCTTCCACCCTCTTGAAAATAATCAGTCTCCTCCTCACTTTCTTCCTAAATCAACTTTATCCAAATTAGTTCTGCTTTTGTAAAATTTTCACATGCAAAAAGATCTGTTTGATGTCCTATAGAAGTTTAACAATGGCCTTAACACCTGCAATTTTTCACAGGGATTCCTTTGGTAGGAAGGATGGGGTGTGGAATTTCTGTAAAAAATAAAATAATGAGAATTTCTGTTACACCCTGATGGAATTTTTATTTCAGAAAACGAAAACAACCTGAAATAATTTTTGGTCACTTTCCTTTTTCTTCTTTGTTTCTGCTTCTGTGCAGTTGGGAAGAGCTGGAGATAGGATGGCACATAGATTCAATAGGGAGGTTGCAGACTTTCAGCCCTGTGGGTAGTTGGCTGTCCCTGCAGCTAGCAACTCTTAGTCTGAGTGCCTCCTCTGGGGCTTGGCAGTACCCTTGAGTCCTGGGCACTGGAGGAGGGAAAGAAGAAGAATGTGAAGATAGACAAGGAGGTAGGAAGGGAAAGTAGAGAGAAGGAAAAGTGAGACCACAAGTGCCAAGGCTGGTGTGGGCTGTGGTGGGGGTGCAGTCCCACCTACAGGTGCCCTGGGTACCTCCTGGTGCCCTGCCCTTACTTCTTACAGGAGCTGCAGGGAAGGCCCTGCTCTCTCCTGTCTGAAGACAAGGCTAGAAGGGCCTCTCTGCAGTCTGGCCTAGGCATATGTAGTCCTGTCCTTTCTCCTTATGTCACTGACAGGCAACTGAGTGAGGTTCCCGGTTGGGCCCAGTGTGATTCCTGTCCCCCTGCTGCTTGTCTCACCATGATGACCTTGTCCCTCACGCTTGGCTTTCTTTCTAGGGAGCCAGTGGATGAGGTGCTGCAGATCCCCCCATCCCTGCTGACATGCGGCGGCTGCCAGCAGAACATTGGGGACCGCTACTTCTTGAAAGCCATCGACCAGTACTGGCACGAGGACTGCCTCAGCTGTGACCTCTGTGGGTGCCGACTGGGAGAGGTGGGGCGGCGCCTCTACTACAAGCTGGGCCGGAAGCTCTGCCGGAGAGACTATCTCAGGTATCCTGCCCTCCAGCCTCTGGGGCCCTCAGCAGGGATGTGCGGCCACTGTAGACCTCAGAGTCTGGGTCTGCCCCCCTGCTCCAGCTACCTGCCTGGAATGAGGTCAGGCAGCCCAGGCTGAGTCCCAGCTGCCCCATGCAGAGAAGCAGTTGGCATTCTTCCTGTTTGAGAGGGATGTTCTCGGGCATACATTCCTAGGTGGTGAAATACTAATATTTTAAAAGCAAGAGAGTGGTAAACACAAAATTCAGAATAGTGGTTCCTTCTAAGAAACAGATAGGGGGAGAGGGTTGTGGAGAAACACGCAGGGAATCCCAAAGGAACCGGGTTTGAGGGTGGGTTCTTGGGTGTTCATTTAATGCTTCAAAGTATACATATGGGTTATAAATATTCTATATGACTCTAGTATTATATGATGAGAAATTTGAAAATAGAAAGCATGTTGCTCCAAGCATATGACTGTCACGGGATAAAGGCCCTGAAGGCAGTGGTAGGTTTGAGTCCCAGGACCATGGCATTCTAGCTCTGTGACCTTGGACAAGTTACTTAACCGTCTTCAGCCTCAATTTACTCATCTGTAAACAGGGATAAGAGTAGCACCTACTTCCAAGGAGGAGGTGAGGATCAGATGGGGCAATACATCCAAGCTCTTGGCTTGGTGCATGGGTATCAAATAGATGTTGGCCTCTCCTGTAATTAACTCCATGACATTATCATAAAGTATTTTCCTATCTAAAGAACAAAGAGATGGAAGAATGGAAGGGCAAAATAGGAACTCTGCAACACCTGGTGAGACAAGCTAAGGACGTCTCTGATCCTCTGGGTCATGCTGTTGGCTGTGTGAATTTTCCAGCACTCAATGAGTGCCTTTGCTTGGAATGTTCTAGCATTTCTAGTTTCATATTAACTGCTGTGGAGCTAACTCTGTGCCCTCTACTGTCAGGTCTGCTCAACTGTATAGCTGTCACTTTTTTGCCATCTTCCTGGAGCAGAGAGTCTGTGGAGCATGCAGCCCTGATACATTAGGACCGCCCAACCCAGGGAAGCTGTTTAGACTCTAGTGCCCTTGGCTGGCAGGCCAGATCTTCCTCCCAAACCTGCCCTCAGAGCATTTTATGTTGAGGGGGGAAAAACTCACAGGCACTTTCATGGTGAAGGAGGCTTATCTGTTTGCCCAGAGACTGATAGAATAAGCTTCTTTTTTTTTTCTAAATTCTCTGATAAAGTCCTTGCAAATTTGGTGGTTCAGAGAAAATAAGTAGGGCTTTCAGTGATCATGATTATAATTTTGGTCAATTTTTTATTAAGTTACAAGAAAACAGAAATGGGATAAACAGAGACCTGAATTTGTTCACTGCCACTTTGCCAAAACAGTGCAGAAAATAGACGGGTAAATGATTCCCATTGGGCCCCCTGACTACATCCCTGTCAAATCATTTGAATCTTATTAAGTGAAGTGCAGATAGAGTAAGGTCAAAAGAGCCAGGGCTTCTCCCTATCTCTACGGTTTTATATAGCCTTCAAGGATAAACCCAGTGCTGCCTAGCCTTGTTAATCTTTTGCATTTTTAAAAAGAAGAGAAAAAATAGTCTGGGAGAACCCAATGTTAATTAACTTGTGTCTCGGTGACATGAAATAATTCTTCTCCTTGCTACATTCCTAGGCAACATGTTAATTAACTCTGTGTTAGTGCCAGCGTTTCCAGCCATCCTTTAATATTTATATTATTGTTATTAAATTAAAATGGGCAGGAGAAAGCTTAAGTCCTGACACCTCTTGACAGAGGAGAAAAATCTTTTTTTTTTGCTTCAGGGATGTTTCTTTAGCCATGGACTTATTTACTTGCATTCTTAACAATCATATCTGGCAGTGTCTTTTAAAAAGGCAAGTTGGGAGAGTGACTAAATGGGTTCTGTGATGGGTTCAGTCCTTCTTCCCCATAGGAAGACTTCTGAGGATTTCCATTGGCTGATTTGCCTGTTACAGCCCTTTTCAAACAATTAGCCTCAAATAATTCTTGAGACCCCCACACAGAACCTAAACCCTACCACTGTTGCATTGTACTACTGGGAACCTAATAGTAGCTGTTAACGTCAGTGCCCAGCTCCCTGCACTGCCCAGTGGTTTCACTTTGAACATCCAGCACCCGCATCTGTTAGTGCCAGAAATATGCCTACTTCCTCCAGGCCCCAGCCCTGGTGCTACAGGAGCAGCAAAGCCCTGCAGCCTTGCCCAGAGCCAGGGAGACTTGGGGACATAACTTACACCCCAGAGTCCCTGTGCCATCAGGCCAAAACTCCCAAATGAGGGTCTCTGCCTGTTGTTCGCCTGCTTCCTCTTCTGTCCAGCCTCCTTTGCTGCCTTAGCAGCTTCCTCCAAGGCACATCCTCAGTAACCCTTGTCTCAGGGCCTGCTACTGGGTATGCTGCCTGAGGCACCAGTTTGGGGCCAGAGGGGATGCTCGAGTTAGATGGCACATCCTGATTCATTTTTACCAATAGGAGAACCTACGAACCTCAGAATACCAGAACTGGAAGGGCCTGCAAAGGCCTGTCCTCCGGTTCCCTGGCTTTACAGCTAGACAGAGAAGCCAGGATAGGGGGTATCATTAGCTCCAGGGCACCTGGCCAGTTAGAGGTGATGCTGGGACCTGAACTTTTAGTCCTTCATCCTTCCCTTCATTAGCTGCCTCATGTGTATTGTAATTTACCCCCAACTTCCCTTTAATAAACGCTCTCCTTGCTTAAGGGTCACCCCCGAGGCAGTTGGCTTCATTCCACACACACTGTGTTGTGAGTCGTTTATCCCTGCTCAGGCCCAAACCCATCTTACTGGTCAGGACACCAGAACTGTCTCTTCACTCTGTGACCTCCAAGGTGGCAGTTCCCTGCAGCTCCATCATCTGCTATGCTGGGATAAATTGTTCTCCCCCAGTAATGAGTTTGCTCCCAGGTGGTGCCTTGAACACACTCAGAGATCTTCAAATGAGAAGCAGAATTCAGAGGAAATCAGCTGGCCCCAGCTCTAACAACAAACTCTCCACCCACAAACCATGTCCTCATTACTTTTGCCCAAATGTTTCAAAATTTGTCAGCTCCCTTATCTGTCCTCCAGCCTCTCAGAACGTACCATTTGATTCTCTGCTATCCTGCAATTATGAAGAACTTCCAGTAAGGACATTTACCTTAAGCTGTCTTGAAGGTTTTATGTGGAAAGGACCTGCTTATGTGCCGTGTTACCAGGCATGTGTGAAGGTGACATCCTGTAGCAAGACTGGCTCAGTGGGGATACACCGAGATGGGTTTAGACATCATCAGCACTGGCCTAGCCCTTGACTATTGGTGCCTTGACATGCTCCTTTGGATCTTTCCAGCAGCCGATGAGATGGATGCTGTGGTCGCTGCCACTTCACAAGCTCAGAGGTGTCACCACAGTCAGTCAGGTACTCTGAGCTAGTGCTGGATGGAATCCAGGTCTTCTGATTCCCCTGATTGTGTTATTCCACTCTTACGGGCAGATTCTCAAACTTCAGCCTGAATCAGAATCACCTGGAAATGCTCATTAGCACAGACTGCTGGGCCTCACCCCAGAGCATCTCAGTCAGGGAGGCCTGAGAATATGCATTTCTAACAAGTGCCAAGGTGATGCAAATGCTGCTGGTCCCAGGACTGCACTTTGAGAACCACTGCACCAAGGTCTGTCAGGTGCACCTCCCACCTCAGGACTGAATATTGCTTGAAATAAGTGATTGATCATCTGGGCTTTAGGAGGGTCTTGATTTAAATTTCACAAGAGAGGGTTCTCCAGGGATTCATGCCAGCGGAGCAGCAAGGATCTTGAATTAAGATCTTCCACTCAGTATGGAGAGTTGCTGTTTGCCCTCCCAATCTCTGAGGCATGAGTTCCTACTCCACGACGTGATTTCCACCGAACTCCCTTTGTCTCCTAGAAGCTGGGACCACGAGGAACAATCATATGATGATGGTCTTTGGAGCTAAAGGAGGAATTCAAGACCAACCCTCTCCGTGGTTGAAATTAGTGGCTGCTGACATGATAGAATTTGGGAGCCTTAGAAAGATGCCTATTTCATTGCATTCCTAGTCAAATCCCTCTCAAAGAGGACCCTAGGGGTTTCCTCCAACTCCTCTTCCAAAATTAAAGTTCCCCTGGGAAAGGACTCACCATACATGCATAAGCTCTTAAATTATTTCAGCCAGTCTTTTCTACAGAGGAGGAGCCAGCAGCAGCCTAGAGGCATGGAGAGCGGTTGCTACAGGCAGGATAAGGGCTCAGAAAAGGGATGGGTTATGCCAAACACAAATGCCACAGATTTCAGTTTCATCCCAGAGCACCCTTTTACTTCCAGGGGAAACTATATAAGTCAACCATCTATCTGAACCCAAGTCTTTCTTGCTTCCTGACATCTTGGAAATTCAGCCTACTTTACGGAACCCATCCTCAAGCCCTCTTTGCCAGTACTGTCTCTGCCACTGTCTCCTTAGCTTTTCTTTCTTTTTTCCCCAGGCTTTTTGGCCAAGATGGTCTCTGTGCATCCTGTGACAAGCGGATCCGGGCCTACGAGATGACAATGCGGGTGAAAGACAAAGTGTATCACCTGGAATGTTTCAAATGTGCCGCCTGTCAGAAGCACTTCTGTGTGGGTGACAGGTACCTCCTCATCAACTCTGACATAGTGTGCGAACAGGACATCTACGAGTGGACTAAGATCAATGGAATGATCTAGGCCAGAGTCCCCGAGCGTCTTTGGGGAGGTGTTTTGCTGAAGTCATTGTCTCCATAGGGTCTTCACTCTTAATCACTTTGGGGGTTTGAGGGTGGGATGAGGCATTTCTTAGGGGATGGTAGACCCTCACTGAGCACCAAAACACAGCATCCAAGTGATATAATGCAAGGGGCAAGACTTACTGTGGACTTGAGTTCAGCCTTTAGGAGAACTTACAATGGCCACAGCCTGTCCGTAACAGCTGACTCAGTTAGTGAAGGAAAGGGCCTCTAGGGGGGTAGGCAGGTGCTGTGCCATCCTGACGGAACTTCACATTTACTGAGAAGGAGTTGTCTCATGACTTGTTAGGACTTTGGCCCTTGAAAACTAGAGATGTGCAATTGATTTATTTTCTTTCTGGCTTTTATGACAACCCTGTTCCAATCTCTGTCCTCCACATTAGGGAAGGACAGAGCAAAGAATGGCCATCCTTTCTTTCTTGGCCACCTTCCCAAGGCCTTACGCTTTGGATCCAAGGGAAACTGCATGGAGACACCTTTCAGTTGGGACTGGAAACTACAACTTTCAACCAAACAATAATTTAAAGCAATGCTGATGAATCACTGTTTTTAGACACGTTTGTTTGGAGGTGACAAGTTCCACAGATAGTTTCTATACAGATGTAAATCTTAAAAAAAGTTGTTGAACTATTTTATTATCTTAGATTATATCAAAGTATTTGCTGTGTGTAGTTAAAGAAAACTCTGAGGACAATAAAAATAACAGATGAAAATGCAGTGTTGTTTATTTGATAATGACTTATAATTTGAGATGGCAGGAAAATGGCCTTTAATATTGTAAAGGAGAAGTAAATAAGCAATTTACTTTTAGGTCAAATAAAAACTTACGTTTATTGCTAGGGTTTATACGAGGCAGGCACGTTTCTATATTACTAGCAATTATGTAACAGGTCATCATGTAGCTCAGAGGGATAGAGAATAATTAAATAGTTATTGTAAAATGTGCATTTCACTTCACATTGTATAGAATGAGCAGAAGGCAAGATCTTTGCCTTTGGGAAACCAGTAACCTAGAAAGGACACAAATACATAAAACAGATTTCCTTTGGGAGAGAAGGTAATTACCTAGTTTGAAATGTGGCAAAGATGCTGAGCTTGACACTTCGATTTTCCAAGATGTATTTTATGACAAGTGGTTAAGAGGATCTTACTTTGAGGATTTAAAGCAGGCACCCCAGTGTGTGTGTGTGTGTCTTTCACCCTATCCAGGCCATTGTGAACCAAGTCAGAGTGCCACCTGCTGGTCATCATCCCTCAGCCCCATAGTTCAAGACTCCAAAGGAAGACAAACCTTGATGGATATACTTTTCAATTATGTCATAAAAATATTGGGAAGCATCTGGAAGCTTTAATGTGTTTATCATGACAGCAGAAACACGCATCTAATGCTACCGTTAATTAACTATGATACTCCTTTAAAAATCTCCATCGTTAGGGTTTGTTTGTTTTCTTATAGAGGAGAAATCATCACGTGCTGGCTCAATTGGTCTGCAAATGCTAAAAGTGGTTGGGAAATGTGACTGCTTAAGGTGGCCTATTTTAAACAAATCTGATGGTACTGCATTACAATCAGATGGTGGTAAGGTGCTGCCAGGGAGAGATGTTCTAAATTCATGAAGGGAATGTAGTTCTCCAGTGATGGTCCCTGAACCAATAGTATCAGCACCACTTGAGAACTTACTAAAACTGAAGATTCATGGGCTCTACCCCAGACAAAGTGAATCAGAAACTCTGGGATAGGTTCATCAATCTTTGTTTTAACAACCCCTGAAGTTGATTCTGACTCATGCTCAAGTTTGAGAATTGCTCTTCTCAAACAGCCTCCAGTTAGGCAGATCATACCCTCTAACTTGTTCATAGTTAATGTTTGATACAAAAGTTAATCACTGAGTAGCTTTTCCACAAGTAGAAAAGCACTGTTGACCGATAATTCCCAAACTAAAAACTTTTACATAATTTTGTCACCCAGCTGACAGTGGTCATCTACCAGACTATTCACAAGTCAAGCCACAATTTTTAACCATGTTAACATTAATTACAATAATAACAATAATAAAATATTTTAGCTATACAACTGTATTATGAGAAATATTAAAATAAAAAAGATTCTTGCTTTAGAAATGTAAATGTAAACTTCATTCTTAATTCCCATAGTAGTGCAACACACATAAGATTCAAGAACTTTTACCATCTTCAGTAAAGCAACATTTTCCACTTGTCAGTGGTGCCATCTTGCGGAACTGTGAATGCACAGTCACTCTTTGTGGCAACTCACTCCAGGGGCCAAATGTCTAACCCACAACTGACTGACTTGAGAGGAATAATGTGTAAAAAGACTTCGTGAGGGACCAGCTCCTGGAATCTACCCTGGTGGTCCTTGCCTGAGTGTGAAACCCAGAGTCAGGAGAAGCAGGCACCTGCTGCCTTCCCGGCTCCATGCCTTAATTCAAGTTGCTGTAACATTTTGCTCCCTCTCACCTAATTCATGTTTTACATACAGAACCAGCTTCTTTCTTTTGCTCTCCCTAGTAGAACCATGGCTTCTCAGGGAATCTTGGAAACCTAGGAAGTTACAATAGAGCAGTGGTAAGGAACTTTATCATCTGAAGACTTGGATTTGAACTGCAAGGATGTGACTTAGCACTTATCATGTGCCAGGCACTATTCTAGGTGCTTTACAAATATTAACTCATTTAATCCACATAACAGCCCTGTGTGGCAGTTTCTATCTGTTATCATCTGCACTTCCCTACTGGGGAAATTGAAGCACAGACAGGGTTAGTAATTCACCCAAAGTCCTACAGCTTGATAAATGACAGAAGTAGGCTGTAACCGAGGGCCTTCACCCTGCGGTCTGCTACCTCTCTTAGGCTCACCTCCCTGAACCTAAAGTTTCTCATCTTCAAAACAGGGAAAAATTAGTACCTTTCTCCCCAGGTTGTTTGAAAATATTTGAGTTCAGTCTAGCCAGAAATGTAACCAAAGCACAATAATACAAGATTACCATCATAATTAAGATATGCAAAAAGTGCTGTGGAAACACAGATAAGGGAACAATTAAATCAGCCCAGGGTGGCTGTCTGGGGTAAAGAGGAAATAACACTTGAAATGACCCTGGATGGGAAGGAGGTGTCCTGGGCAAGAGCAAAGACTGAGAGACCTTGACTTTGCAGAGCAAGTGGGTGAGCCCAGAGTTTTCACGGGGATGGTAGTGGTGGTGGTGGTGGGCTTCGGCCAGAGAAGACTGGGGTTGGTGAGTAAATAAATAGGGGAGATGAGGTTTTCTGCAATTTTGAGACTGAATGACAAAAATAAAAACCCAGGAATCTCTGAGGGGGAGAGGGAGGAAACAAGGGAGGTCCAAGATGAGCGTGGGACATCTTATGCCAGAAAGTAAGGAAGTGCTCAAAAAATACAAGCAGGTCACAAGGACAAAAAAGCCAGCTTGTAAAGGCTATGAATAGGCAAATCTGGTACAATTGGACCACCAAAATAATCAAGGACATAATGAGTTATAAACCACTGAGGGAAAAAGAAGAATTTGTGAGTTCATACCAATAATAAATAAATGGAGAGAAGGAAGGATTCTTGCTTACAGCAGAATCTTGAGAGTCAGTATGAAGAGGGTATGGAAGTTGGAAAATCATTTTGCTACTATCATACTAAGATGATAGAATCAAGCAAGAATCATTAACAGTTACTAAATTTCAACAAAGAAAGAGCAGAATGCTTGAATGTTCTTTAAGTGCCTTTCCATATATTGCTTAAGTTACAAGGGGGAAAATCAGTAATTACCCAGTGGAGAAACTGGGTAATACCTTGACCAGGTGATCAATGAGGGGCAGATGGACACTGTGTGCTCCAGATGTAAGGGACATAACATCACTCATTTTAGTATTCCCACTGAGAATGCATAACCTGAATCTAATTAAGAAACAAATTAACAGACGGACTCAAAATGATGAACAATGTATTAAAAATGGGGGAGATGGACTCTACCTTCAAAGATGTCAATGTCATAAAAGACAAAGAAAAGCTGTGGAATGTTCCAAATTAAAGAAGGCTAAGGAGACCTAACAACTAAATCCAGTAACTGGCCCTTTACTGGATCCAGCACTGGTGGGGGAAAAAAATGCTATAAAGGACATCATGGGTCAATTGATAAAATTGGAACATGAATGGGTAACTTAGTTCAAAATATTGCACAAATGTTAAATTTACTGAGATTGATAACTGTACTGTGATTCTGTAAGTAAATACCCTTATTAAAAATACACACTGAAACATTTAGGATTAAGGGTCATGATGTATATGGCTTGTTCTCAAATGATTACGGAAAAATTGTGTGTGTGTGTGTGTGAGAGAGAGAGAGAGAGAGAGATTGAGAATAAATGGTAGGGGTGAAAATGTGAACAAGCCAATCTAGGTGAAGGATACAAAGTGTACTATTTGTATTCTTGCAACTTCTTTCTAACTTTGATATATTTACAAGTAAAAAATATTTTTAAGAATTCAGGAATCTTGACTTTTTTTATTGTGTGGTACTTTGGGTTTGATTGAAAGAACAGGAGAGATAAGGAGAAGAAAATAATAGTTTGGAAGTCAGTGATACATTACTATTCATTTGTCACAATTTTAATGTACTTTTGACCTTAGAAATAAAGTTCATGTATCTCAAGCAAGCAGTTTCCTCCGTACACACACATAATACAAGTGATGAGTTTTGGAAGATTCACTTAGTGCCAATTTCTGAAGCAGGTTATCTCTCAACCTTCTAAAATTAACTTACTACAAATTCTGCAAGTCCTTTATAATTAGGATCAAGATTTAATCATCTAGCTCTGAAATGTGTGTATTATAGGACCAGGACCTAAGCTATAATGTATATCTAAGAATTGTTTCAAAGCACTAAAGCCACTTCTGTTCTCCACCAGTAGCTGTGTATTAATTCTCTGAGAAAAATAATCATTTCTCTGACTTAATGGAATCTCTGAAGCTAAATCAAATAAATTTCCATTGTTACGTTGTAAAGCTTTTGAACTGGGCTCACTGAATTATGCTATCTGATGGCCACCTGGAAGATGGCTTTGTGGTGATCCTAAGAAAACCCACAGCCACAGCTTCTGTGTGTCACAGCCTTTCCACCCCACCCCATTTATTCTCATTACTTAATGAGCAGCTCAAGGGAAGTGCCTCCCAACCCCAGTATGTAGTAGGCAAGCTAGATATGAAGGCAATGTAATGTGATAGAAAGAACACTGAAAAAGACATTAGAAACCTGATTTTGCCTCTAATTAAGAATTGGCTCATGCAATTGGGGGGACTTGGCAAGAACAAAATCTTCAGGGTAGGCTGGCAGCCTGGAGACCCAGAAAAGAGTTGTAGTTTGAATCCAAAGGTAGTTTGTTGGCCGAATTCCCTCTGGCTCAGGGGAGGTCAGTCTTTGTTCTGCTGAGGACTTTAGCTGATTGGATGAGGCCTGCACACATAATAAACTAATCTGCTTCATTCAAAGTCCACTGATTTCAATGTTAATCTCCAAAAACACCTTCAAAGAAACATCCACAGTAATGTTTTACTAAATATCTGGGCACTATGGTTCAGGCAAATTGATACATAAAATTAACCATCACACAGCTAGTTCCTAAGTGAATATATAACATAAATCCAAATGAACATGCATTGTAGTGAAACTGCAGAATGCCAAATATGTAGAA